ACCGCCCGACGCGATACCGCCCTGAAACAGTTTGAGCAGAAATAGCCAATCTGGGCAAATCTAGCAACTTGTCTAGCTCCTCGCTGCAGCATCCGATGACGATGACACGCATATGCTCGCGAAGCTGCTGATGAGACCTTCAATTTGCACCGCTTCTTGGAATAGCCCGTTCCCTACTTGCCAAGGAATGGCAAGAGGCGTCTGGACCCGAAATTTCAATTTTTTTGGCTCTCGCTCTCAATCAGATACTTCGCTCTCAATCAGGCGAATATATTGTTACAAATAGACCGTCAACAATCTTTGCCCTTCTCCTCAGCCGCAAACACATCGATTGCTTACAGAGATGAAGCAAGACGAACGAGCCCACAACAGGTATGAATGTATGTATGTGAACGTGTCCGTAAAAAAGAACACGCACGCAATCCGCACAATCCTGTTGTAACAATGCATACGCCAGGTATGTTTTCCTCCCATCCCCATCTATTCCGAGGCGCCTTTCTGCATGCATCTTGCGGTGTCGCACCAGCCAGGGTCACACTGAAGGGAAGCAACAACACAGAAAATTGCTGCAATTCCACCCTTTCTCCTCTAGGGGCGCTTGTCATGACGCGATACGGGCAAGGGTTCTTCACCTACTGTTCCTTCCTTGCTCCTTGTGTGCATTGGCTCGCGACTATGCGCTTTTTGCCACTGGTGCTAAACTGCGAGTGTTATCGCTCCGAACAGGCTCCAACCAACAACCTTCATAGCGTCAGAATCATAATCATGACTATCATACCAGCTGGAACGGGCCGAAAGTACAACACACGTTTTGAAGACAGCTAAACCTTAACCTTCGCGTGCGTTATAGGTGCGATTCGATACTCCACTCGTAGGGATTGACCCGACCTGTGCATTCTAAAAAAAAGGAGTGTGTGTACACCACCAACATGTGGGCCAGGGAGGGGGGCCGTAAACACACACGTTGTCGCGTTTATACGTCAGTTTTCTCTTGCACATCAGAAGCAAGACACTGCTGTCGTCCATCTCCTGCGCCCTCCCTCTGGGTAGAACCCTTGGATAAACATAGAGCGTGTTCGCGTTTTTTCCGCTACAAGATTGAACTATTATCATTTTCAATGGTCATCCAGTTGGCGCGGTCGATGCCAAAACAACACAGACGCACACTTGTTCTGTGTTGCTCCGTAATTATCTCTCTTTACCCGGAGTGTAGCGTTGACTCCCCCATGACACTCGGTCACAGGGTCCCAGGTCGTGGCCTACAGAAGCATCTTGCGTTTTCCACCGCACCGAGGCTGACGCCTTTTCATTGGTCAGCCGATAAGCGCGGCTCGATGCCAACAAAAAACACACGCACAGCTGAGGACACATAGGTGGCACCATCTATCTCACAGCCTACATCTGGCAGACAGTGCCTTCGACCCTTCGACGGCGGTGGTATCTCCTTCTCTCACGGAATCACAAATCTTTGTTTGGACAACGGGTGGGTACAACCTGGATTTCCTGCTACTAGTAGACTACACAGAGTACAGTAAGTAGTACTACTGCGGCGGCTGCGGATACTGGATTCCTGGACGTGTTCACCTGAAGGAAAGCCAAGAGAACCTGCGAGCAGGGCTTGGCTCCCTCATGACTTCCTCGTGGCTTGCTAGGTTCGGAAGAGGGCATGTGTGGAGCTATGGCAGTGTATGTGTTGCTATTTTGTTTGAGTCATCTAGCTGCTGACACGATGACTGTGTTGGATTTTGGGAGTGTAAGATTATCAAATTGATTGGGAGATGATGCAGCATACCACGATATCCTGGCTTCGGCTGGGCTTGAAACCTTTTGTTGTCCTCCGCTCTTTGCATCAGTGGCTTCCTAGATTCGGGCGAGGGCATGTGTGGAGTTATGGCAGTGTATGTGTTGCTATTTTGTTTGAGCCATCTAGCTGCTGACACGATGATTGTTGGATCTTGGGAGTGTACGACTATCAAATTGGGAGATGATGCAGCATAACACGATATCCTGGCTTTGGCTGGGCTTGAAATAACCCTTTTGCTGTCCTCCGCTCTTTGCATCAGTGGCTTCCCAGATTCGGGCGAGGGCATGTGTGGAGCTATGGCAGTGTATGTGTTGCTATTTTGTCTGAGCCATCTAGCTGCTGACACTATGACTGTTGGATCTTGGGAGTGTACGATTATCAAATTGGGAGATGCAGCATACATACATACATACCACGATATCCTGGGTTCGGCTGGGCTTGAAATAACCCTTTTGCTGTCCTCCGTTCTTTGCATCAGTGAGTGGCTTCCTAGGTTCGGGCGAGGGCATGTGTGGAGCTATGGCCGTGTATGTGTTGCTACTTTGTTTGAGTGACCTAGCTGCTGACACTTGGGAGCGCACGATTATCAAATTGGGAGATGCAGCATACCACGATATCCTGGGCTTGAAATAACCATTTTGCTCTGTCCTCCGCTCTTTGCATCAGTGACTTCCTAGATTCGAGCGAGGGCATTTGTGTAGCTGAGATGTGTGTCTTCGTGAAAGAACATGTAGAGAGAGTCGTATTGGCATTCGCATCAAGCGCATTGCGCATTTTTCGAATTTCGGCCCCCTTCCAGGGACCTTGATTTTTACCCGCTGGCACTGACGTCTTTTAATTGGTCAGCCTGTTAGCGCGGTCGATGCTGATAACAAAAACTGTTCAACACGCACACAAACACAAAAACTCCTCCGTGACCGCCCCTAACGGGCCCCCAAATCATGACCGCTAGATGCGTTTTTTCGTTTTTAGAAGCACTGAGACTGGCGTCTTCTCATTGGTCGATGCTGAAAACAAACAACACACACGTAGGAATGAATGTTGACTGCACCAATCTGAGACACCGAATATTTTTTAATGAAGGAAAGACGGGGCGAACATAACTGTGGGCATACAGGTCCCTCTCAAAGGTGGGAGGGGATGATCGCTCTTGGCATTTACTGTACTGCTGTACAAAAGTCAACGCACGCCCATTCTTCTCGCTTTGTTTTGATTCATCTCCATCAAATATCTTCGTCGGTCTAATGTCTCTCCTTCATCCACTCTTCTAGCATGTAGCCACACAGCAGCTGTCGCACGAAAGGTCGAGGCATCTGTTACTTCATGCCATCCGCACTTTCCAAAAATCGGAAAAAGTTCAAGCCTGCTCCTTTCTCGCTGCCCCCCCCCTGCCCACGCAATCTAGACTTAAGTGGGTTGGCGCTGTTGGCAAAGCGCTGTAAAACACGCCACCCCAAATATAGCCCCCATAGTATGCGCTACCAAAGACGCGTGACGCATGGATGCGTGGAGTGAGGATTGCTTACGGAAACCTCACAGGTTGAGTGATGTAGGAGATTGCCGGACACATAGACGTGTTGAGTGATTATAGATGTATACTGAAACCCCACGGGTTGAGTGAGGTTTGAGATTGCCAGACACATAGACGGGTTGAGTGGGGATAGCTGCATACCGAAACCCCACGGGTTGAGTGATGTTGGAGTGCCGGATGTTGGAGTAATTGCAGTACAAGAACGACTCTATTCTACTGCATGGGTTTATGCGGTATTGTGAAGGCGTTGCCAAGTCTGTAACCGTCAGGTCAAGACAGCTTGGGCGTCTGTGTGGATAATATGATCACTCTGTGTGTTTGCCTACCTAACCTCGCATCACATGCCAGCTACTTTGTAGCCACAGCTAAAGGAACAGCTGTACAGCAACTGCAGTGACAGTGCTGTTGCCTCAATAGGTTTTGAGCCTCGAGTTGCTCGAGCTAGTACACCAGAGTCACAAGAGTCGGTAAGCATGGCTACCGGCTCGTCAGGCGAGATCCGTAGAGGGTTCGCCAAGTTCAGCGGTGACCCAGGCGACTACGTCGGCTGGCGAACCCTGCAGACCTCCTTGTTTATGGAGGACAAGCTGCACAAGGTTCTGTTGGGAGTGGAGAAAGCCCCTTCGGATCCCGGACCTAGTGCTACGCCGGACCAGACTTCGGCATACCAATCTGCCCTGGAAGGATACCAGGACAAAAACGGACAGATCTTACACGGCTGATGCTCGCCACATCTGAAACCGGGGGCTACCAGAGCGCGGCCTCGCAGACTGTGCAGGCATACGCGCCTATCGGGTCTTTCTACAACGGAGACGGTCGTGGAGCCTTCCTCGCCCTGGAACGAAAGTACTGTTCGTGAGTCTGCGAACATGGCTGTTGGATACATGTGCTGGATGA